ATCAGGATGTCTGCTGACATAGCAGCATTTTTTGGAAGGGGAGGTAGTGTTAAGTGTCCTCCACACCTGACAGGAGAGAATGAAGATTCCCAGTCACTTCCCACAATTAGAAAAGACACCTTTAGACATTTTTCTGCTAGGTTGACATATTGTCATCTATGCTGCCATGGGGGTTGGGGAGTTCATTCTGTGTCTTGTTAATTGTTATTGCATTCCTATCCCTGCTGCTCTGCCTTTGCTGAAACGCTTATCTCTACAGATGTGCAGGAGGAGGTTGTGTTGTCTGGAGGGCTCCTATGTACCGTGAGAGACTCCTGGTTCTCAGCTTTAGCCACCTAACGGTTGCCTGAATTATCCCACACGCGGGAGGGTCCCTAATTGGCCAATGCCACAGGGGGTGCATACGAATACCCTATATCCTATTATGATCTAGTGGCTGTGGCCATTCCTAACAGTGCCTGTGTTACTGCATCTATAGCTTTGCAATAAAAGTATAACCATTCCTGAATGCGTGTACTTCGTTGTTAGCTGTGGGTTCTGACATATATTTATTGCTTTACAACTGTTGACCCTATAACCTTAACTTGTTATTTAGTGTCATGTTGCACATCTTGATCATCATCATGCCGCATGTTAATTTGCTGTTGTACTGCTTTAGACCAACACAGCTGACCAACTGGATCTATCTTCATGTAAGGAGGAACAGTTAACAATAAACTTTCAAAGACCAAAATCCTTGTCTTTTTCCAAAACGTTTGTTAAACATAGATAGCAGAATGATGGCCATGATATTGAGTGAATTTTTCAAATGACCAGGCATAGTTTTAAATCAACTTGTTCATTGAAATCTCAAGTGGTCCATACTATTGAGACTGCCCAAAGAGCAATATCAGCCATCCTGATTTTGTGTGTGTCCTTATATGATAAAGTCTTCCATGACAAGGTGATTCCTCAACCCATGAATAGGTCACAACTATGTTTATGTTGCCAATGCCCCGAGGGCGTTAAGTTTCTTTGACTTGTGTGGATAGCCAATAAATCACACAGTTAAAACAATCATCCAGGCAGTAAAGGGTAACAAAAGAATTTATTCAAATAAAGGAACATCCAACAGCTCGCAGATGTTCAATTTGTTACAGCCGAGAGCTTGCTTATATACTCTTTAAATCAACTTGTTCATTGAAATCTCAGGTGGTCCATACTATTGAGACTGACCAAAGAGCAATATCAGCCATCCTGAGATTTTGTATGTGTCCTTATATGATAAAGTCTTCCATGGCAAGGTGATTCCTCAATCCATGAATAGGTCACAACTATGTTTTTGTTGCCAATGCCCCGAGGGCGTTAGGTTTCTTTGACTTGTGTGGATAGCCAATAAATCACACAGTTAAAACAATCATCCAGGCAGTAAAGGGTAACAAAAGAATTTATTCAAATAAAGGAACATCCAACAGCTCGCAGATGTTCAATTTGTTACAGCCGAGAGCTTGCTTATATACTCTTCTTGCTCCTCCTCACTTTACATCATCCTTGACATCATTTAGACATGCTCAGTTCAGTTTTCTTTGTCTGGTCAGTCATCAATCACATATTTGACACACGGGATGTTACTTGGCTGCATCTCAACTCCTACAATGCAGGTGCAGTGCTCATTATTTTTGATTTACAATTTTGTTTACTTCTCTTGGCATTACTCCCAGACTCCTTTCACCTTTGAAGGAACTCTCCAGGTTGAGTTCATCTTCAGTACAATATTCTATCAGTTCTGTTAATACAATTGGTCTTCTTTCACATTAATACATGCATATTAAAGTCTCTTAAAGCATTTTATAAACTTATTTTCACGAACAGGTATACAGAATAAAAAAACATATCATTACAATGACATTCTAAAGAATTAAACTCTTTACATGAATTCTTTTAGTGTTTTAAAATAGCCTATGGCATGAAGCTCTTGTAGGTGTGTTGAATCTATACATCTGTTTTCATTTTGGCCTATCAGAATATTTGTAATAATTTTTATTAAGTTTCTTTTTGTCTAAATCAAAGCTTTTAATTTGTAAAGTGCACCACCTTATTTCAGTCAACAGAGGGTCCTCTTTTACAATACAAATTCTGTACTTGTTAATTGGGTTTTAGCAGGTGTACATGATCGGTCTCTGTGACATCATCTACATGTCAGTAGCTTGATACTCCTTAAAACTTATGATTGATTACTTTGTCTTTTCCCAAACCTTTCTCGTTAATTCTGACCTGCCCATGATTTATGTTTTTCATGTTGGCAGGGTCTTTTATACACCTGGTATAATGATTTTTTTGTTTAGGCAAACAGTCTTTGTCTTAAGCTTACTTTCTATAGCAAAGCTTACAATTAATAAAGAATAGTTGCTTTTACAAATATCTTATACATATTCAGCCTTAAACATAACATAAAGTTCTAAAAACACACAAAGGGATTTCTTTCTGTTACAATATATAGCTGTCCTTTGTTTTACTCCAATTAAGCAGTTCTCTTTGAAGTAAAAGATGGAACAATCAATCTCAAAGTTGGCAATAGTCATCCCAATTAAAACTGCTGACATTAGACCTATTCAATTCACCAAGCAAAGCTTTTTGTTATTCCAGTTAAAAATGCAGAGTCTTTTCCTTCTTTAAAATAACAAGCCAACAGGCAAACATACACACACACACACACAGACAGACATTGCTCAAAGCATCTAATAATTCAATATGTTAAACATGATCTGGACCTCTTTCATTTAAACAACTTAACCATAAGCTCTCTTTCTCAGCTACAGTCACTGCACTCTATTTAACCTTATTACATTTTGGCATCCCTAAGCTTGGCTGGCAAATCCTTGCCAGGTCAATTTGACCAATTCCTTTGAAGCAACAGGATTCTATAATAAATCTCGGACTTGATAGGTCCTAATGAAAAGTTAGCAGCGTTAAGAGAAACACCTGCTTCATTAAAACTCAAATACACCCTTTTTCTTTGAAACAAGGGCTGGAAAAACATGTCAATTAGAAATGATTTAAACCACTTGGTGTTATACAATACAGACAGTGCTTAGTGGTTTAAACAGGTTGCTAATTCTCCAGGAATCCCAAGGACTTTCCCCCCAAATATTTCTGTAAAACAGCAGTAATCAATTAAAAATCATTTGAACCGTCGGCACACCCTACAAATATATAAAGGTTTCCATCCCCTGGAGGCAATACAATCTAATTTTCTTAGATCTGTATTTAGGGTCCCACATTGTGTTCTCAATACCCTTCTTAGATTAGAAGAAGAAGAAGAGAAGAGATTGGATTTATACCCCGCCCTTCACTTGGAGTCTCAGAGCGGCTTACAAACTCCTTTCCCTTCCCCTCCCCACAACAGACACCCTGTGAGGTGGGTGGGGCGGAGAGAACTCTGACACAAACTGCTCTTTTTCAAGGACAGCTGTGCCAGAGCTTGTGACTGACCCAAGGTCACATCAGCAGGTGCAAGTGGAGGAGTGGGGAATCAAACCCGGTTCTCCCAGATTAGAGTCCGCACACTTAACCACTACACCAAACTGGCTCTTAGAGTCAGGGATGGTGCTGCTTGAAGCACAAGGTTAGTATCCAGCAAAATGCTTTTATCTTAGATTAAACTTGAACGCATCTGGATAAAATTCATTGATTCTTTCGAATAATTTCCATTCACACTGGGTGAGAGCTGTTGAGGGGAAAATAAATTTCTGTGGGTTTACTCCCCCAGCCCTATGCCATGTTGGATTTAGGGGAGCCAAAGGTATAATTAACAGCAAATCTGGGATATAGCTCTTCAATTAGACAGAGTGCAGACACAGTCCTATCGCGTAGTACAGAATCATGGTAAAAACATTGTTATGACAAACTATATGTTTTAGAATTCCCTAAATACCAAAGACCTTGAGAGCCAGCATGGTGTAGTGGTTAAGAGCATCAGACTTTAATCTGGAAAGCCAGGTTTAATTCCCCACTCCTCCATATGATGTCTGCTGGGAGATCTGGGGCCAGTCACAGTTTTTTCAGAACTCTCTCAGCCCCACCTACCTCTCAAGTTGTCTGTTGTGAGGAGAAGAAGGGAAGGGAATTATAAGCCACTTTGGGACTTCTTAAGGTAGAGAAAAGCAGGGTATACAAACAAGTTCTCCTCCTCCTCCTCCTCCTAATGCTTTACCATCAGCTCTTTTGCAAGGGAGATATACAGTCAACCATGTGTTGTTGTATTGTTCTTCGTACAGGGACGTTCATTCTCTATACATAATAACTTCAATCTTTTCAAATTTTCCAGGCAGTTCTGATGAATTTTATATTTCCCCCCTCAGTTCAGATTATTCTAATGAAACCACCTTCAAGGTCACCAAATTTTGCGCCTCAGCATGTTCAACAAGGAAGCAGCTGGTTTTCTTCATATTAATTATGTCTGCACTATTGAAATCAGCTCATCATGTGCCTCCTATGTATGTAGATATGCTGATGACTCTTGTCGCTGTGTCAATCTTTTGATGCTCTATGATTGTAACAAATAAGGATAGATTTATTGAAATCATGTTTAGGATGTCCTTATTTTTTATTTTAAAATGATCCTAATCTTTATCATTTCGGAGGTGAACAGAAGGGCTTATTTGTTGGTGATGGAGTTGAGAAAAAGTAATAGAAAGGAATGTAGGTTTTGTCTCACTCCCATCCTAGAATGGAAGGAATCCTCATACTCAGCAGCCTGAGTTTGCCACCAAAACCATTTAAGGAAAAAAATACTGGTACAATTCAGCCAAAATTAAGCACATTTTAATCCCACTTATTTCACCATGAGGGTAAAGTACTTGCTTAATTCTCTCCCACTGCAATTAGTGCAATATAAAAATGCTTCACTTTGCCTGGGTGGTACCCAGGATTTGTAATACAAAGTTTCTTATTCAAAGAATTTCTGTTTGGGTTTGGTAATATGACATTATCTTGTTTCTTTTTTAATTTTAGAATTCTAAGTAAACTGAGTATGGATATAAACCGAAATGAAGAAAGAAGAAGTATTTTTCCAAAACGGTAGGAAAATACAGTTTTTTGTTGTTGCTACAGAAGAAAGATAATTCTTTTCCAGATGACTGAGTACTGTTGAGGGGGCACAATAGCACTGCATTACTACTTAGGGCACTTTAGCTTGGAGAAATGACAACTGAGGGGAGACATGATTGAGGTTTATAAGATTATGCATGGTATAGAGCAGGTAGAGAAAGAGGTACTTTTCTCCCTTTGTCACAATACAAGAACTTGTGGGCACTCAATGAAATTGCTGAGCGGTCGGGTTAGAACGGATAAAAGGAAGTACTTCTTCACCCAAAGAGTGATTAACACATGGAATTCACTGCCACAGGAAGTGGTGGTGGCTACAAGCATGGACGGCTTCAAAAGGGAATCAGATAAGCATATGGAACAGAGGTTTATCAGTGGCTATTAGCTACAAGGTATAGATAGGGACTCTGGGGCAAGTGATGCTCTGTCTTCTTGGTGCTTGGGGAGGTCAACAGTGGGAGGGCTTCTAATGTCCTGGCCTCACTGGTGGACCTCCTGATGGCACCTGGTATTTTTGGCCACTGTGTGACAGAGTGTTGGACTGGATGGGCCTTTGGCCTGATCCAACATTGGCCACTCTTATGTTCTTACATCATGCTCAATGAATGAATATGAAATCTCAGAATAGTTTGATCAAGCATTCAGTTATACTTGTTCATGTAAGTAAAGTGCTCATATATGTATTTTCCCATACTTTGGTGTTTAACATGGGAATTGTTGATATTTACATATACACAATCAGCACATGCCATCATAATAATTACACATGTTATGTAATTTCTGCTTATAATGCTGCATGATTCATTGGGACTTTGCCTTCACAGTTTTAACTTGGAGAAACATTCAAGATTTTCAGTAAAAATCCTTGCATTGTATCTACCTATCAAATACTATTTTATCGGCAGCTGGAGTCTGGGACGGCTTACATAGATTTCTTTCCCTCATTAAACAGTGAGTCCAGGTCACTGGGACCTCACTACGGTCATTGGGGTTTCATTGCACCAAACATATGGGCTGTTTGACTGAGATGCTTACTTGTGAATTGATTTGCTCACAGAAAATAATTCCACCTGTTTCAAGCAAAGAGTTGAGTTCAGAATTAGAAAATATGACAATCCAATCCTGTCATCAGCAACTGGCTGCCAGGATAAAAACAGCATTATTGGTTGATTCCCTATGAATATTCTGCAGGCAGGGACAACATGGGCCCTCCTGCCAGACACAGACCCATAGGAAGCATACCGGAGTTCCCCTGCAACTTTGTTGATAACATTCTTCAGAGTGGTACAAACAGGAACGGAAAGCCATCATCCGCCAGTGCAGCCAGGGCTCCTTGATACCCCTCCCCATGAAGCACATAGATGAGTGTTCAAGTTGCAGTGAGACAAGTTGCTTATTTTCAGGCATGGGTCAGCAGACATTGCAGCACAAACAGCACTCCCAGCCTAATCTCTCACAGTCACCCCTCCCCCACCTACTGGGAAAAAGTATCCATGTGACAGACAGGATGCATGGGTCCAAGCCACAGAGACTAGGTTCAAAAGAAAGCCCTACTGTACCTTTAGCAATGGTCCAATCAGAAGCGAAACATAAAAGAAAGTCTGGGTTCAACTTCACAGCTCCCACACCTAAGACAAGTACTGTGACCACTGGGTCAAGCAGACACCTACAAAGAAGGAATGCCATTGGGCATTAGGCATTCCATTGCAGCTTCGACATCATCACCAACCACACAGACAGGTGTAGCCTGATGGAAAAGATAGTATGGCCAAGGCCACTGCTTTGGTCCCCACATAGGGTTAGTCAATGTTTTGCTCCCTCCCCCCTGCAAAAGATGGGAGAGGATGTTCCATTTAATAAGCCACCCTGCACATCTGTCATTTTGGATGACATGTCCTTTCACAACCTTACACAAGTGCACATTGTTGCCATCTAGATGTACACAGATGTACCACTCAGACCATTCCCCACAATGCAAGCTGCACACAGCAGCCAGTGGAGTGTGTGAGTGGGAAGAAGGCGGGGACCAAAGAGGAGTGACTGTGTCAGTTTGTTGTAGCTGAATGCAACAGAAGTCCAATGGCACCATGAAGACTAACAAAATGCATCCCAGCATGATCCTCCTATGAATCAGAACCTACCTCCTCAGATGTGTGAGGAGGAAATCATTTGAGGACATCCCATGGAGAATTTGCAAGGGGGCGAAGGAGTTGGGACAAAGGGTGTCATGGCATGAGGGGTGTGTGTAAGAGGTGGTGGGAGCAAGCATCAATTTCCCAACTCCAGACAGACAAGGACACAGCTTTTGAACAGATGTTATTGAACAGCAGCAGGGAAATAGTAACAAGGTCCACTGAGCAAACACCTTCTTTCCAATATGGCCCCTGCGCCTTTGGCAAGCTGCTGCCAGGAGCCATGGGCAGATAGGACAAGCCATTTCTTTCACAGCAGGTATGTGAGTGGGGTGGACAAGACAGATAAATGGCCATCTGAACAACCATAATGGTACAGGAGCCAAGCTGGAACCAATGAAATGGGAGCCCCACTGCAGAGTGGCAGGATGCACACCAGTTACCACAGCCAGCCCATAATACACTGGGAATATCGTCCAGTCAGGAGTACTCCATACTGAATCACCAGCTGCACAAATGCCAAACAGATACTCAGGACCGGTGCTACCATTGGGCCACCTAGGCGACCACCTAGAGCGCAGACCCCGGAGGAGCACAGAATGCACCCCTCTGAGGTCTGCGCTCTCACACAGAACTGACAATCAGCATTAGGGTGGCCCCGAGGCATGCCCGGGCCGTGAACTAATGGCAGCGCTCGCCTGCCAGCCCAGCACCATTCAGAGGCGCCGCCGGACCCCACCCGACTTGGCTTTTTACCCAGCGGTGGCAGCAGTGCTCCCGCCAGAGCCGCAGACCAGCCAGGCTGGCATGGATGGGGTGACCCCCTCCCCCAGACTGACCTGGCCCCTGTGCCCACCCTGGCCAGGGAAATGCCACTGGTGGCAGAGAGGGAGTGCCCAGAGGTCTGGCCTGGCTCAGCCTGCCCTTCGAGCGCCTGCTCAGACTGGGGTGGGTGGCCTTTGAGAACCAGCGTGCCCCCCCCCAGCCTGCAGCCCAAGCGAGGATGGGCAGCAGCACCTCTGCCACTCCATGGCACCGTCTGCTCGGCAGAGGTGGAGGAGTGCCACGTCTGCCATGCAGCGAGCTAGAGCAGACACCCCCCCATCAGCAGAGACTCGGCTCCTCCTCGGCTGGCCAGGTAACTCTGGTGTGCAGCTCCCCAGATGCCCAGTCCAGGCCCCCTCCTCCTCCTTTGCCTCATCACTTCCCAGCCCATTGCCCTGATGGTGCACCTGGGAAGGGAACCTCGGTGGCAGCAGCACACAGCAAGGCCCAGAGTCTCCCCTGCGCAGCCCTGGGAGGAGATCACTGGTGTGGGGGAGGGGGGAGATCATTTGCACAGATCCCCCCCCACCTGCGTGCTGGGAAGCCAGGCTTCCCTTCCCTTGGGGGACAGGGCTGGATGCTGGCATCCCTTTGCAGAATACCCTGGCATGGGAGGAGGCACTCCTGAGCATGTACAGAGTGCACCCCACAGTCAATGCCTGGCATGGGGGTCCCAACTGCCTCTTCCCTCTGTTCCCAAGCCCTGGGCTAGCCCCGTGGAAAAGGAGGGGGCATCCCCAGTGCCTTATCTCCAAGTCAAGCAGCTCGAAGGGGGATTCAGGAAACCAGAAGGAAAGGAGGGGTGGTGGTGGTTGAGGGACCAGACCTGCCAGTGTTCCCTCTAAGCTGAGTGAGTGTGAGCTAGCTCACAGTTTTTTAGCCTCTGGCTCACACATTTTTGTCTCTGCTGAGGAAGGATGGCTCCAGGGCAAACTAATTTATGCAGTAGCCAGATTGCTCGCTCACAACTTTAATGCCAGTAGCTCACAAAGTGGAACTTTTGCTCACAAGACTCCACAGCTTAGAAGAGGGAACATTTCCTCCTTCCCTGCTTTCTTGCTGGTCTCAGGGCTGAAAGGGGCCTTGTGAATGGGGAGAAGAGCTGCCCCCACCCTCAGGTTACTGCCTTCCTTCCACCCTGTGGGTGGGGGTGGATTGGACTTAGAAGTCCTCACAAACACACACACACACCCAGAGGGGGATGAAGTCCAGGAGTGCTCTCAGATGCTCGCCAGCCCCCGTGCCCTCTCCAAGGTTCCCAAGCATTCCATCCTGTGGATTCTCTGAGCAGCTGGCATTGGTCCTGCAGCAGGATCCTGTCCCTGTGGAGGGATTAATGTTTCTGTTGCTCTGAGGATCCTTCTCACACTTCCAGTGTCAGTGGCAAGTGGTGAACACAGCTTCTCAAAACTCAAACTTATAAAAACACACATACTCTCGACAATGCTGCAAAAGAGACTACTTGGTTTGGCAGCTATTTCAATTGAACATGCTGAAGCATTCAGCGCTTGACCCGAAGGAATTGGTGACATAAAAAAAAACAAATTTGTTGATAGAGTCTACCAAAATTACTTTAGGAGAATGCCTGCTGAAATAACTCTGTCTAACATGGAATAACTCTGTTTTATAGTGTGATTGTCGGAATTATGGGAGGGAGCTGCAACTGTGTGTGTGTGTGTGGGGGGCAACTGAGCTTCCCCATTGCATGGGTATCATGATTTTGGAAAGTGTAACTTTATGCCAGTCCGGGGGGTGGGACTGCCAGGCTGAGTCAGCTTAGGAAGCTGACTATATTAGGAAGCTGACTACCTCCCACTACATCCCTGCCCTACCCCGCCCCCACTGGTGTGGAGGGTTGCAACTGCATGACAGGGTCTGTGGTGTTGCCATGCCAGTGACTGCCTGGTCTCTTTCTCTCTCTCTCTCTCTCTCTCTCTCACACACACAGACACACAGACACACAGACACAGACACACACACACACACACACTGCACTATGAGAGACACATGATTGCCTCCTGCTTTCTCCTGCAGTAACCCAAAGTAATATAAAACATATGATGCCTCCATACTGCTAGGTTCTCTGTTTCCTCTTAACATAACGTAAGAACATAAGAGAAGCAAATGTTGGATCAGGCCAATGGCCCATCCAGTCCAACACTCTGTCACACAGTGGCCAAAAATACCAGGTGCCATCAGGAGGTCCAGCAGTGGGGCCAGGATACTAGAAGCATTTTCACTGTTGACCCCCCCCCCC